GACTTATGTGTATTATACATTATACGTCAGTCAAAAATAATTAACGTTCCACGTGTAATAATRTTGAACTAATCGTGAAAAACATTTTTTTTAGAGGGTAGTATTTATTTATAATACACAGTGCATATTAAAATATTATATAGGTATCCTATATTATGTTTTGCGGCAGTAATGCGAAAGCAATTCCCGCGGCGTCGTCGGTTGAACCTGAAAAAAAAGGTATCTATATTATAGCTATTACGAATATATATCATTTTTCCTCATGTTTGTATATAACTTAAATTCGACATAATACTAAAACCAGATATTTGGAGAGGGTCACATACGAGTCGCGCTGAACACGGTCGTCGTGGCACTGGGTCGATTTATAGTAGCAATAAACTTCATATATTTTTGAAAATTATGACGAAACAATAGCTGGTAAAGTTTTTACAACAAAAACATTTAAAACGACAACTATTTATGTATTATTTATTGTATGCTRCAGTCGAGGTTGGTAAATGTCAAGTCAACATACGAACCTATAACACTGAAATTTTAAAACGCATGTAATGGAAATTAAATCAATACTATATCATAATATATATCTCCACGAATACATTTCTACTATTTTTAATCATTTTTTTCATTTTAAAATTTCTAATTTTTTRTACCTAACATTGTAATATGTACTTACAAAGGACATAACCGTTGTTGAGAGATCACGGRCACTCCGGACACTCGACACATTATCKAGGATGCCAAATATTTAGACAAACTTGATTAAAATATTTTTAATAGACAATAGTAGGTAAATAAAATGCATTTATAATTTTACCGCAAAACTATTACGTAGTATTATATACCTTACATTAACCAACATTGAATTTACCCAACGAATTATAAATCATGTTATCGGTRCCRATTATAAATTTATAATTTTTGACATGATAAACATTGCAATTCGCAATATTCAGTGAATAACCGATGCAGTCTGTGGTCGTTTTATCATATTTTGTTCTATACAAAATTATATTCACAGAAATATTAAATAGGCATTCAATTCAATAAAGAGATTTATACTTTTTAAGCTCTAATATAGAAAATGTGTGTAGATTTTTGGTAAGATAATTACAAGTAGGTACCCAAATATAATAAACATCAGAATTATTTCCATAATGCACGGCATTGGCACTAAATTGCGCGTCATTATTACAATTAATTCATTCCTCGCCGTAAAATATTATATATTATGTCATAAAATTATTGTAAAATTAATAACTTAATAATGTAAAAAGTATTAAAATAATTTAAGAATTATTATTAGTAGTAGTTCGGTAATCTTTAGTCTACAGTCACAACTATAGTTGAAGTCTGAAAGGTACTAAAATATTATTGAACTGGAGCTTTCGAAAAAATAAAAAATATGCAATATCTTCAAACAACTGCCAAACCTTATAAATTATAATATAATGTATGATATAGATTATCCTTTTCAGATCATTGAAACATACTATCCAAACATGTATTATTTTTTTAGAWTAATGTATTCCGATCATAACAAGTACTTTAGAGATGTTTATATTCATTATGGATAACAATCATAGAATCCAAAGAGATACGATGCGCCGAAAAATGTTGAAATGTACCTAAACTGAGTTCTGTTTCATATAAGTGAGTACTTGACGATACYCAATCATCTAAATAGTATACTGTATACTGAATTAATAATAGGACCCAGCACCGCATATCGAAATCATCTTTTAAAAATCTAAACAAGAAAACAATCTCTGCATTCTATGATTAGTGAATAGAATAAAAAAAAGATCTACATTTTGCACACCAATGTCCAATACGGTCACATTCAGCGGAAATATAACATTTTTTCTATGGGCCAAAATCACAATAACATAAATGTAACGTAATCACAAAATATATTATCGAAGTTATCGCGTCTAAGTTGGAATTATTACAGTTGTAGAATATTGATAGAAATTGATATTTTCAAATAAAAGCGCTGCAACGTCGTTGTCGTTGGTAAACCGGTTATGATATTACCGAAGGATCTATACTATAGACTCTATACCTATATATATATATATATATATATATACCTATCTATACCTCTATACTCTATACCTCAGAGTCGTTGTTGAAAGTCTGTCTGCCTCCATGCATTAAATTTATCGGGGTTGGTAAATTGAGTCCCAAATGACCCTAACTCGGTAAATTGAGTCCCGGTGAAAAATAGGTAGTAGGTAAGTTGAGTCCCAGAAAAAATAAGGTAGTAGGTAATTTGAGTCCCACGGTAAAACGATTTATATGCATTTAAAATTTAAAAATATG